CTGGTGACTAAAGGGTTAACTCAGGTACCTAGCAAAGGTGTCAGCTGGGGGGAGGAGGGGGTCAAGCCATCAGCCAATAAAAATTCAGGTAGGAATTTCAAACAGGAAAAGAGAGGTTTTTCTCTCTCTCTTCTTTGTTTAAGAGCAGAGTAGTTTCTCCCAGGTATTGAGGGAGATGGAAGATGCTTCTCTCTCCAAGAACGGACTTCTTGAAATGTGTAATTAAGGAAAAGTTTAAATAGTCTGTCAGGGTTTATTGTTTTCCTTGTTTGGGGGTTTGGAAATCATGTCTGAGCTGGCTAATTATTTTTCTCTTTCGTAATTAAGTATTACAGCCCAATGACTTTCCCTGAGTCTAGGTCAATTGTGGCTATTTACCGCTTAGCCAATTTACTATGCTTGCAACAGTAGTTTTGTTTTGATAATAAAAGAGTTTTCTTTTTATTCTGATTAACCAGTATTGGTTGATTGGTGTGTTGTTAGGATTAAGGGCCTAGTTACAAGGGCAGAGTCTATTGCTGTCTATGGATTCCCTCTGTCTGTTTTCCCAACTCTAAGCAAAACAGAGGGCAAGGGAGAGTGCTTTACCTTAGGGGTGTAGGTTCCCAAGTGATCTCTCTCTCTGGAAAAGGTTTTCTTTTTAAATATTTTCTTGTAATCACTTGGGCGGTGGCAGTGCAGAACCAGCCTTGTCTTTTTTGGATCTCAGGGGGACTGAGATTGACTAAGTTTTTCTCTGTGAATCACAGACACAGATTTTGCAGTGTTTATTCCGCTAGCAGTGTGTCACGTTGGGGGACTGAGCCATGACACTTGCTTTGAGCACATCATCCTCTCCTTGAATCCTTCCACTGGTTCCCCTCTTCTCTGTTGAATGTACAAAAGCGATTCTTCTTCACCTCAAAGATTCTTAAACCCCACTGACCGTCTTTTATTCACTACTGAAATGTCAGCTCCTGCCTCCAATTGGCTCTGGGTATCAGCCTCCATTGCTCACGTTCAGTGTCCAAACAAGTCCTTTCATGCTTTCTCCTGTGTTGCTCCCCATACGCGGGAGCCTCTCTCCATATTCACCCACAAAGCTACCTCATTCTCCACCTCAATTCCTGTTGCAAAACTCTCCTTTGCCTCAAGCCTACAGAAAAACAAGACAACAGGTAATGTGCCCTGAGACCACAGCTGACCATTTTCTCATTGTTTTCTTGTATCCTGCCATCTAGAACTCTCTAGCCAGCGAGCGTCTTTTCTCTTCTATTTAGACCTCGGCTCTTCGGCACAGAGACTCTCTTTGACCTGTGATTGTGCAGAACCTAGCGCAGTGGGGTCCTGGTCTTGGGTGCCATGGCAACACAAATCAATCACAGTCGTAGTTTTGGCCCTCTGAGAGGTGCAGACCTTGGGTGAAGCCCAGGGAATTGCTGTGACATCTGTTTCTCTCTTTCCAGCATCCGAAAGAATTTTGGCTGTGGAGCTAATGTCGCTATGCAAGCAAAGCAGCGAATGGCTTACGGGATTATCAAGGATGAGCACAAAAAACTGGGCCCTATGAAATTTTCAGAGACTGCTGTCACAATCCTCTTCATATTACTGGTGGTGCTTTGGTTTACCAGGGACCCTGGGTTCATGGCAGGCTGGGCAACTAATATCTTCAACCAGAATGGCAAAAGGTATTTCCTCCTCCTCCTCCTCCTCCTCTGCACTGATTAGGCCACAACTGGAGTATTGTGTCCAGTTCTGGACACCACATTTCAGGAAAGATGTGGAGAAATTGGAGAAGGTCCAGAGAAGAGCCACAAGAATGATGAAAGATCTAGAGAACATGAGCTATGAGGGAAGACTGAAAGAACTGGACTTGTTTTCTTTAGAAACAGAAGACCGAGGGGGGACATGGTAGCAGTTTTCAAGTATCTAAAAGGGTGTCACAAGGAGAAGGGAGAAAAATTGTTCTCCTTGGCCTCTGAGGCTAGGACCAGAAGCAATGGGCTTAAACTGCAGCCAGGGAGGTTTAGGTTGGACATTAGGAAAAACTTCCTGTCAGGGTGGTTAAATACTGGGATAAATTGCCTAGGGAGGTTGTGGAATTGCCATCACTGGAGACATTTAAGAGCAGGTTGGATAGACATCTATCAGGGATGGTCTCGATTATACTTGGTCCTGTTGTAAGGGCAGGGGACTGGACTTGATGCCTTCAAGAGGTCCATTCCAGTTCTAATAGTCTACGATTTTCCATCCTCACCAAATATCAGCCAAACACTGAACATTAGAGATCCAACATGGGCACATGGGAGAGGACCTGGACTTCTCATCTCAAAGTACATTGGTTCTCTGTTCCCATCTGGATAAATCCTGCTTATTCTGGGGCCTATCCTTTTGGTAGGACCATGCCATTTCTAGGGGTAATTTTGCCAGATTGTGCAGCCCTTGCTCCTTCGGTATCCTTGCCAAACTCAGTAGAGTCATTTCTGGATCAATCTCTTGCAGTTATGTGACTGATGCTACAGTTGTCATCTTCATTTCACTTCTGATGTTCCTAATTCCTTCAGAGATCCCCATTTATCTCTGTCGCAACAGGACTCAGCAAGCACAACAGCAAGGTAAGACCTAACTCAGCAAGTCACAGTCCAGGTGCCACAATAGAACACAAGCGTTTCCCTGCCTCTTGGCTTTACAAAGGCAATTTCAAACACTGAACAATTCAAGGAGCCAAAGGGCAGTGCTGGGCGTGTGTCTGCAAAGGATTCCTGCAGGATTTGGGTTATATGTTCTCCACCGTGCAGTTGGTTGATCACAGCATGGCTCTCTTTCTGGTATGCTAATTAAATGAGACACGTCTAATCAAAGACATTATATGCATGTCTCATAACTGCTGAAGCGGAAGAGTCTAGGAGGAGATGTACTAGACCCTGGGAGAATACTGACTAGCTCTGAGGACATGTTCCTATACATCTAGTCCATTCTCCCACCTTTTGGGGCCAGAGCAAGTTCTCTACACAGTCTCTTCCATAGTGTTTTGTCCAGTCTAATTTTAAAAGTTTTAATGATGATGCTTCCATTGCTTCCTTTTGGAGACAACTCCACAGTCTGGTAGATCACCCTCCCCTTAACTCCAGCTCTCCACTACAAGGAGATGCAAGAGTTGGGAAGTTTTACAGGTGTCAAACACCAGGGCTATGTCTACACTGGCACCCTTTTCCGGAAATGCTTAAAACGGAACAGTTTTCCATTATAAGTATTTCCGGAAAAAGCGTGTCTACATTGGCAGGATGCTTTTCTGGATAAGCACTTTTTCCGGAAAAGCGTCTGTAGCCAATGTAGACGCGCTTTTCCAGAAAAAAGCCCCGATCGTCATTTTCGCGATCGGGGCTTTTTTGCATAAAAGACTACTGTGCTGTCTACACTGGTCCTTTTCCAGAATAGTTTTTCCGGAAAAATACTTTTGCCCGAACGGGAGCAGCATAGTTTTTCCGGAAAAGCACTGATGATTTTACAGTAGATCGTCATTGCTTTTCCGGAAAAGCAAGCGGCCAGTGTAGACAGCTTTCAAGTTATTCCAGAAAAGCGGCTGTTTTTCCGGAATAAGTGGCCCAGTGTAGACACAGCCTAGTAGTGTTGTGTGTGTTAGTACAAAACCTCAGCTAAGCCAGGGTGTTGAACAGAGAGGAGAGCTACATTGTGGCACTGATGCTATTTGTCAGGGGAGCATTGTGCACCAGAACTACTAAA